TAAAATTAACATGAGCAGTAATTTATAACCTTAACACCAATTTGAACATTTGAACCCTTTATGTATATGGTGTGGACAAGAAATAAGACCTTAAATATATGAACAGTAATTAATAAGAAAACCCAGAAGCAACAACTCTTATCTCGTCCAATTTGAACTCAGTGAAACTCGGTTGAGACACACTTTCATCTTTCCCTCCGTTTTCTACAATCACCCAGAAATCAAAAATATATAAGCATCAAAACCCGTCAAAGATTAAACTACAAACAGTTAAACAACATCCACAAATCCAATTTTTGATCTCAAAACATAACAGACCATAACTTCTCCTGGATCAGATCTAGCAACTAAAACCCAATCAAACCCATAATCCCCTTTACTCCCGATTCCAATTTAATCCCATTCATGTAACTTACTATTATTAGCTAACAAGAGGGACAAAATCGAACTCAAAATCAAACATCACATACAAACTCAAACCCAAACACAGCAACCACATCACAAAATCCAAAATATAACCTTATAACTCAATGAAATCGAAATCAAAATCAAAATTCATATTATCAGCTGTAAATACCCCCAAAAAACCCACTAAACACTCAAAAACACCCAGAAAAATGCCATAAAAATCGAAACATGTCTGTCACACGTTAACACAACAACCTAATCAATTCCAAATCAATTCAAACCAAAAAAAAAAAAAATCAGAATTTCAGTAAATTGAAGCCCGGTCTGAACCAGATCCTAACCCTAAAAACACAATTCAGCAAAAAAAAAAATCGAAAACAATCGAAAAAATTACAAATACAAGTACCTTATTCTCGGATTTAAGCATAGGACTCAAGAAGAGATAGAGAGATGGAGTGGGCTGGCGGATCGCGACCACCGTCACCATAATCACCTTGGCGTCGTGAAGAGAACAACATGTTCATCAACCTCATCACAACATAACCCCAACTAATTCAATCAAACGCCCAATTCATTTCAATTGTTCATCATTAATCACAAAAAAAGTAAATAAAAATCAGAAACCCTAGATCTCAAATCGAAGAGCACATACCTTCGTGAAGAATTCCACCACATCTGCAAAGATCTGGCACCGGTAAATAAAAAGACCGTCAATTACGATGGTGGCGACAACATTCACCACCGCCGTCATCCTCAAATCCTAAATTCCCCAGTAGTGCTGCCAAGAGAGAAGTGAAAGAAAGAAAGAAAGAGTGGAGTGGCGGTAGATGCAGCAAGAGGAGGCAAGTGAAGAGAGAGAAAGGAGGGTTTGAGCAGAGAGAAGAGAGAGGAGACGGAGAAATCAAGAAGAGAGAGAAAACAAAGGAGAGAGTACGAGAAGAGAGAAGTAGAGATGAGGCGCGTTTTTTTTTTTAACAAAACCACCGGTTCAAAACCGGTGGCCTTTACCATTTATGCCACCGGTTCGGATTGAACTGGTGGCAATTTAAATATATATAATCCTGCCCATTTTTTAAGCCACCGGTTTTTGAAAACCGGTGGCCATTGAGCGGTGCCTTTTTGTTTTTTTCTACTAGTGGTGGTAGGCTTGAATTAATAAAATCGGTGCAAGTTGTAAACTGGTAAATTGTTCATTTAAAAGCAAATTAGATGGTTCCACCCACCCAATTGGAATCCCAAAGGGTATTAGGGACCATGATAAACATTTCGGAAATTTTTATTTACGGGCGAAAAAAAGTCAAAAAATTCCAAAATTGAAGGCTAATATCCACGTTTTTTGAGAAATTTTGGAGGTTTCGAGGCCCGGTGTAGAAAAGTCTTGATATTTTAAGGGTACATCTCGGGGTCATATAATGCCGTTTGAAACCATATATGATCATTATATGTTTTCATTAATGTTCATAGTTGACTTAATGAAATTCGTGCAAATTGTAAACTTGTAAATTGGTTGTTTAAAGGCAAATTGGATGGTTCCACCAACGCAATTGGACTCCCGTAGGAGATTAGGGACCATGGTAAACATTTTAGCAATTAAGGAGGTTTCGGAGCCCGGTGTCGAAAAGTCTTAAAATTCTAGGGGATATATCTCAGGGTCATATAATGTCATTTGGAACCATATATGATCATTATTTGTTGTCCTAAATGTTCGTGGTAGGCTTGAGTTAATGAAACCGGTGCAAGTAATAAATCGGTAAATTGGTCGTTAAAGGCAAATCGGATGGGTCCACCCACTCAATTGGACTCTCTAAGGGTATTAGGAACTATGGTCAACATTTCGCCAATTTTTATTTTCGGGCAAAAAAAAGTTAAAAAAATACCAAAATTAAAGTATAATATCTACGCTTTTTGAGAAATTTTGGAGGTTTCTAGGCCCGGTGTCGAAAATTCTTGAAATTTTAGGGAATACACTTAGGAATCATATAATGTCCTTTGGAGCCATATTTGATTATTATTTGTTGTCATAAATGTTCGTTGTTGGCTTGAGTTAATGAAATCGGTACAAGTTGTAAACCGATAAATCGGCTGTTTAAAGGAAAATTGGACGGTTGCACCGAACCAAGTAGACTCCCGGAAGGTAATAGGGACTATTGTAAATATTACGGCAATTTTTATTTTCGAACGAAAAAGTCAAAAAATTCCAAAATCGAAGCCTAATATATCCACGCATTTTCCGAAATTTTGGAGATTTTGTGGTCCGTTATCGAAAAGTTTTGAAATTCTAGGGGATACATCTTGGGGGCGTATAATCCAGTTTGGAACCATATATGATAATTATATGTTGTCATAAAAATTCGTGGTAGGTTTGAGTTAATGAAATCGGGGCAAGTTGTAAATCAGTAACTTTGCCGTTTAAAGGAAAAATGGATGGTTCCATCCACCCAATGTGACTCCCGGAAGGTATTAGGGATCATGGTAAACATTTCGGTAATTTTTATTTACGTGCGAAAAAAACGAAAAAAATTCTTAAATTGAAGGCTAATATCCACGTTTTTTGAGAAATTTTGGAGGTTTTGGGGCCCGTTGTCGAAAGGCTTGAAATTTTAGGGGATACATCTCGGGGTCATATAATGCCATTTGTAACCACATATGATCGTGGTTCGGGGTCAAAAAATTCCAAAATTGAAGGCTAATATCAGCGCTTTTTGAGAAATTTTGGAGGTTTCGTGGTTCGGTGTCGAAAATCCTAGAGATTTTAGGGGATAATCTCGGGATCATATAATGCCATTCGAAAGCATATATGATCATTATATGTTGTCATAAATATTCATGTTAGGCTTGAGTTTATCAAATCGGTGTAAGTTGTAAACCGGTAAATTGGCTGTTAAAAGGAATTTAGAATGGATACACTCACCCAATAACTCTCGGAGGGTTTATAGACTATGGTAAAAATTTCGGTAATTTTTATTTCTGCGCGAAAAAATGTCAAAAAATTCCAAAATTGAAGGCTTATATCCACGCAATTTGAGAAATTTTGAAAGTTTCAGGGCACGGTGTCAAAAAGCCTTGAGATTTTTGGAAATACATGTCGGGGTCATATAATGCCGTTTGGAACCATATATGATCATTATTTGTTGTCATAAATATTCGTGGTAGGCTTGAATTAATGAAATTGGTGCAAGCTGTAAACCGATAAATTTGCCGTTTAAAGGCAAATTGGATAGTTCCACCCACCCAATAGGACTCCCGGAGGGTATTAGGGATCATGGTAAACATTTTAGCAATTATTGGACGAAGACTAAAATCACTTAAGAACAAATTTGCGAATAATATTAAAATAGCATGCATGTTCTTTGTCTTGGAATATATTCATTAATTCATCCAAGGCCTTATCTTTGAGAAAGTTAAAAATTCTGGTGTGACAAAAATAAGTCATACAGAGTAACAATCATAGGGATAGGCCAAAAAGCTCTATATGTAAGATATTTTACAAATTACATACTACATCCGGTTCAAATTACTCGCAACAAATGAATATTTTATGTCTCACAAATAATACCCCTTTGTTGCGAGTAATAAGAACCGGAGGTAGTATATGGCCATATGGGGGTAAATGTGTTACACGATCAATATTTATCTCGATTTTCTTTACACATAAAGGAGCTGCGATGCGACCACTCCTTTGAACATGTACCTTCTATTACACAAAAATAGTACCAAACATCTACATATGCCACAACGGGACTTTTAAATTATGACATGGGGATGGACTGCTGACTCATTCACTTATATGATCACCCATAATTATAAAAACTATATACTAAGGGTTTATTCACATTTACTAAATTGAGTTGAACTGATTGGAGTTGAACTGAACTGAAGTGAACTAATTGGAGTTGAGCTGAACTAACTGAGATGAAATGAATATTTTAAGAGAGAGGGAAATTAGGAGCTAAACTAAATTAAACTGATTGGAGCTGAACTGAACTGAAATTAAGTAAATGTGAACAGGCCCTAAGTACACATAATAAAGAACAACGTATTGAGTAACACTTATAAGAAATAAAATTTAATCCGTTTTATGATAAATTGAATGAAATTCCGTTTTATATAAGAATTTTTATAATTCCCTTACCAAATCATTACGGGTAGCAAGTCCTGTGACAAATTCTTCAATAAAAACATCCCCAAGTAAATTTTACCACTCTTACCTCTGTTCTTCTCTTGCAAATTTAATCTATTTCTTCTCTTTCTCACTAATCCCCAAATGATTTATGATGTGTAATTTAAGTAGGATATTTGTATATACTGTTGAAAATAAAGTAATAAAATGATTTAAGAAAATATAAATCATTTTTCAAGATATATAACAACCTTTTATCATACATAATGTTGCTGTTTATTCATTAGTACAATACAACTAAACACGATTTACGAGGATATGTATATGACAGTAGCGGACAATAACGATAGACCATTAGAGGGGAATCAAACAAAGGTTAATGATAAAATCAACAACAACAATAACACTTAAAATATTACGAAAAACTGAAGTGAGTTAGCTGCGAGGCACCACACTGTAGAAATCACACTTGTTAAAGAGGAATGTCATAATCTTTATACTTAGGTTTATGTTTGAGCCTAGGCTTAGGATCAGTCTTACCAATCTTCGAAATGCAGAAATTTAAAATACAAAGAAGTTCCCTGTAGAAAGGAATGTAGGACAGCATAAAGATTATGACAGGAAAGAAAGCAACTATGTATAGTGCTATCTTGGTCCAATGCTGCTTGGAATTGATGGTGAGAATAATAGTTGCCGCCAAGGATACCATCATCATTGACACTGACAGGAAGAGGAGGGTCAAGCCAAGCAGCAGTCTTTGAGGAAGAGTTTTTTCGAAGTCTTTCATCCGAAATTGGGAGGTGAGTATGGTGAGAAAGATTACCACCGCTGTTAACCCGAATCCAAGTGAAAGCACATCAGTTATCGTGAATACAAGGAATAAGGGTTTCCCAAGGAGAACCGGGAGCCCTGTGCGTTCATCTGGACCTCCCGGTACTGTATATGCTGCTGCGAAGGCTACTGTGGCTATCAGAACTGTTACCACTGTACAATGCTCTGCAGTTTGCTTCAAATAATCTTTGGCATCCTTACGAAGCCCTGTGTTTGTCTTGGCAAACAGTTCCCGAGCAGTCAAATTATCCTTATTCCGGTGGTTGATCAGGTATTTTGGGCAAAGACCTTCCAATTTCTGCGTGTATGTACGAACAGACATACATAAAAGAAAATTATCAGTAATAATATAGTATGTCAGTTTAATTATTTTGAAATAAAACAACCTTTGATATGCATCTTGAATATATAAAACAAAAATATCGGTAACTTATTTGATATGTTACATGTCGCTATGTGATAGTTTTTTGGATTTTAAAAATTTAATTTAAACATTTTTTTTTTCTTTCTAACAAATGATTACAAATGATAGCGTTTTTTCTTTAAAAAAAAAAAAAAAAAAATCTACCAATTACAATGTGCCATGTGTCACAATTAACCTATCAAACAAGTTACCAAGTATCAACCAGTCACGTTCTATTTATACAAGATGCATGTAAAAAGTTTGATACTTGACAAATTTTCCTATCACAAAACCCCATATTTTGAACTAACACACACTAATAAGTATAAGAACAGTATAGCATATAATTAAATTAAATCTAATAATTACCTCTAGTAATTTTATTTCATCGGACAATTGCCCGATTGGAGTTTTGAATGTTGTGTCCATAAGAGCTTCTCCTTCGATGATGGATGGCTTGTACCCAACCATATGCATTATGGTGTTAAATTTATTGTCCACGGCTGCTAATTGGCCCCTCCTTAGAAGCTTTCGCTCACTAACAATGTCGATGATTTTATCGTTTCGACTCTTGATTGCAACATGGAATAAATTTTCTTGATTATTATTTAAGTAGTCCACTGCCTGGGGGTATTTTTTCAGTATCTCTTTAACAATCTCAATACAACCTTTCTTAGCTGCCAAATGCAATGGAGCTTGATGGTCGCCTTTTCGAGGATCTTTGTTTGAATCCCCCTCTTCTCCAGACTTGTCACCTGATTTGTTGTCAGAGTCTATGTGGACTAGACTGGGATTCTCTTTTTTACCTATATTAGGAGTAGTTTCCGCTAGTGGAAAATATGTGTTCTTCCAAGATTTATCTGATTTGATCAACAACTTGGCAAGCTCAAGCGCATCCTTATTGCCCTTCTTCTGCTTTCTCACTTCTTTTATCATGGGAAATAGGATATCAGTGTATTTTCGGATCATGCCAGCTTCTCCAGTTGTGCCTTGTTCATCAGTTGAGACAACTGGAAAAATAAAATAGCAAACATATCACAACAGGTAATAATAGTAGGAATTTTCGACACTTACACCTATAATAGTTGCTGTTTTAGGAATTACCACCTATAATTTTTAAAAATATCAAAACTTCTCACCTACTTAGCTCTTAACTCACATGTGACACGAGTAGAAAAATGTGAAGAGAGTTGAAAAGAATTACAGTACATACATGTGTAGACAAGCTTCTGTAGAGGTCCTAATACAGTTCCACTTTCGAAGGCTGTTGGACTGCACGCAAGCATTTGAAGAGCAGTCATTTTATGAACATCTTGTACATCATATAGCTTTGGATATCTGTTTGCTATATCAAGCGCAACATCTGCAGATTACAATTTACAAGTTTAAAACCTCGGAAATTATTATTGTAAACACAAGGAAGCATAAAAAGGATGAATGAAACTCACCAAATTTTCTTGTGAGGATAGCCATGTGAAGAATGGTCATGTTATCTTCCCGTTGAGTTGTCACAATAATTCTTGACTTGATTGACAAGACATTTGTACATACGTTTCCTGCCATAGCGGATAGCCTGGATGAGAGGAGAGACGCCCCATTTATTTTTTATATTTATCAGAACAGGTACTTTGTTCAACAGCTTCTCAACAAATGGGATTCCTTTGTTGGAGGTGGCTGCGTCGTGGATTACGGTGTTTCCCCAAGCATTTTTTGGTTTAGACAATTTTTGATAGAGCTCATCTGACGAAGCGTTAGCAAAAACTATATCCAATAGTCTATCTGCTAACTGAAATTTTTTAAGGAAACATGCCATATGAAGCACAGTTGATTGTGTAAGCTCAGAATATGCAATGGACCACCTTCCATCTCATTGCAATACTCTATGACCTTGTCATCTTCATCATCGATGAGGGCGCGGAATATATTTGCATTTTGATCATCTTCATCTTCATTTTGACATTGTCGATCTTCGTACGCCATCATGACAGATTGATAGGCCAACAAGGAGATTGAAATTTGGAAATTGGGCAAATGATAAACCTCTAGCTTTATTATTGGAGTTTATTTATAGGCAACCAACTTCACACTGAATAATACTATATACTAGTATAGCATTTTTTGTATGGACAAATTAAAAATTAAATCTTTGCAAGTGCTAGGAATTAAGGAAGGTGTTTCGGCAAAAAGTGAGCTAACCGGGCCTTGGAGGGGTGTCTGAGAACCTCAAATTTGGGCCTTGAATGGACCTGTAAAATGAACCCCGAGCCTCGGGGGTTGAACCCGGGGCGGAGCCTCCGACGCCCAAGTTAGTTGCCAAACAATGCATATTTTGAGAGGAGTTTAGGGGAGAGAGTGGAGGAGTATGGTCATCTTAGATGATAAGAGTGACCTCCTTTTACCTTATGCCCTTTGAGGGGTATTTATATGAGTACATAAGTGGGTTTATGAGCCCTAATATTACATATGTGGGCCGTTAAAGGCCATATTGATGTATTTGACTTATTTGGGGCCTTTTATACCTTTTTTATGGCCTTTGGGCTTATATGGGTAGAGTTACCCAAGAATAAAATGGGTATGACCATTTTAGTACCCAAACAGAAGGAATTTTAAGTACTTTATTAAAAACATGTTTACATTTCTTTTTCCCTCTCTCAAAGTCTCGGTAAAAACATAGCTGTGTTCTTTCTCAAAAAACAAAAAAAAAAAAAAAAACATAGCCGTGTTCTTAAAGCATTATTATATCCAAAACTTAACATCCTATTCTATCCAAAGATAAGACTTTATTTGTAAAGTTATTATTGGATTCCTTTTATTAGTTTGCGTATTCATGAAAATGGATGCGAAGAGCAATGTAATTTCTCATTTCTTAAGAGTAGTTTACAATCTATATTAATAAAGGAGGAAGACTCTCCTGGAAGACTTTAATTTGTGTGTATTACTCTCAAAATAAAGTTGAACTTAATAGCTGGATGATTGATATGACATTAAGTTCCTTACTTCCTTTGTTGTGGCCACGAAAATTACATGTTCCCTTTGTTTCTTTAATTTGGTTGAAATTATTCTTGTTGTAATTGTTGTGACTACATAAACCATAAGAACAGTAGAATAGAACGATAACAAGTGAGACTCTTATTGTTTCTCAAATTTGTTGTAACAATTAGACTTGGTTATTGGGCGGGTCGGGCCAGGGTCAGTGCTGGTCGGTTGTGGGTCAGGGTCAAAGAGGGTCACATTTTATAGGGTCAATATAGGGTTGGGACAATGCGGGCCGCGAGTCGATAATGGGTGGGCCTACAAAATATAAATTAAAATAAATATTGGACTAAGCCATTATTAAATACATATGTAAACATGTTGTGATCAAAAGTGTTTCTTCCTGTCACATCCGATCCATCTAATTCCTCTTTAGTACCAATGCACTATCAGAAATGCTTTTACAAGAGAGAGCTGAAGCCTGAATTGTAACAAAGAGGTAAAGGCTGCAAAAGCTATTGCCCAAAATGAAGTTCTGACAATTGATATTCTTTATTATCAGGCGCAGGCTACCGCCGCTATCCGGGCTCAGTTAGAGGCGGCCCAGAAGAGGAATAGCGAGCTAGAGGCGAACATCAACAACCTCAAGGCCGAGCTGAGACCTCTTCGCCAAAAGATGTCCTCATACGAAACCTTGGAGAAATCCTTGGCGAGCGTAAAGGAACGCCTGGTGACCCAGGAAAAGAGTCTCACTCAGGAGCTCTCGGAAAAGGCCGAGCAAGAAAAGAAAGAGCTGGTCCGGGAGATGATGGAAGACTCTGCTCAAATCCAGCGCATGACCTGGGGCCGCCTCTTCCCCAATGCCGACTTTGCCTCATGGGAAAAAACGTACCGCCAGTGTTCTGATAGATATAATCAAGAGATCCTGACGGCTGCTGAGGAAGAGGCGTTGGAGGAGGAGGAGCAGCCGGTAGTGGCGCTTGTGCCGCTTGGGGGTAATGCATCAAAGAAGGATGCAGCTGAAGCCGAGTCCAGCAAGAAGAGTGCTGACCAGGCGGCAGCTGCTAATATTGAGGATCTGCCCCCTTCTTAAGCTTTATGTCTTCTTTCCACGGCCTGCGTGCCGTTTGTTTGTGTTTACCCGGCCAGGAGGCCGGGGCTCTAAATATTTGGCCGGTCTTTAATGACCGGCTTCCTTTTAATGAATATTTTTGTATTGCTTCAAATTTGTTTAAGTATTGAATATTCTGATATCCAATTGTACATTATACCGACTGTTTTTCATGGCCGATAGTTGCAGACAGGTACGGATAGTTAGTCACGCCGCCTATGCCCCTGGACGACTGGTTGTCTATTTCCAGGCTAGGCGATCAGTCGGCCATTTATCCAATCGGTATTCGAACCATTTTAAAGACTGGATCCCCTTTAGGCAGGCGGTCCTGTCATTTGTAAATTTAACCAAGTATGAAAGTGGTTTCCTACTTGTCATGTTTTTAGGCTAGAGACTTTAGGCCGTGTAGGCCGACTGTTCCCTGCCACATTTAATCTAGTGTGAACAGGTGCTGTATGAACACCTTTTTTGTTTCATACTAAATTTTTAAGGAGTGACCAAGTAAACATGATTGTTACCTAGTCACCAAGTGACTGAGTAGTAGAGGTATCAAGCGGTGGGTACCGGTTGTTCCCCTTTATTCGCCAATGTTTGCTGGCTATTAACTCATAAAATACCAATTGTTCTTATCCCAAGTAGTTCAGTCGGTCGGTTGACCCGGATGGTTACTGCGAACACTTGCTTGACGTGTTTAGTCAGTTTAAGTGAGAGATATCCTTGTCCGGGAAACGGCTACGTGGTTGTCTTGTTTAGACAGTCGTATATGTGCCGTGTAATGATTTTATAGAACAATGTTCCACCCAAAAGGGAGCTGCTCTCTGCGACGAATTTCATCCGGATGGATGCCGTCGGACGCCTGCTATAACGTTGGGACAGGTCGAATTGAATTTTTATATTTTGATCAGTTGGCTTGACGCCTGGTCTGATCATTTTAGCCATGAGCCTTTGATAGTTTTTGGTGAACTGTATTATGGGAGAGTAGCCGGTTGAGCGAAACAAGCGGCGTGCCCCTCTTAAGTAAGAATAAAAATTAAACATGGAGAGTAGCCGACTGTTTGTCAGTAGGCATACCCCTCTTAGGTAAAAATAAGAACTAATATGGAGAGTAGCCGACTGTTTGTTAGTAGGCATGCCCCTCTTAGTACAAAATTGAATGAAACAACAGACTTTTATTAAGTAGCCCTTGACTATTTACATCATTCAAAAGAAATATTTCTTAAGATTATCTACATTCCAAGTTCGAGGCAACGATTGGCCGTCTGGTGTTTCCAGACGGTAGGTACCGTCCCTGACCTCTTCATAGATTCGGTAGGGTCCTTCCCAGTTGGGAGTTAGTTTTCCAGACTCATTAGCCCTACCAACTGCTTCCATTTTTCTAAGTACAAAGTCCCCCACTTTGAGTGGACGCCTGTGTACTTTTTTGTTGTATGATCTAGTCATTCTCAGGCGGTAAATTTCATGGCGCAAGACAGCATTGCCCCTCCTTTCAGGGAGTGAGTCTAATGCCAGGCGCATGGCTTCCCAATTTGCCTCTTCGTTATATAGCATTACTCGAAGAGTCGGCTCGTAGTGTTCTATTGGAAGAACAGCTTCCGCACCATAAGTTAGGAGGAATGGAGTTTCTCCAGTCGCCCCTTTTTCAGTCGTCCTAATGGCCCAGAGAACATGTGGTAATTCATCCGCCCATAGGCCGCCTGCTCGTTCAATCTTTTTCTTGAGACCGTCTGAGATGATTTTATTAAAGGCTTCTACCTGGCCGTTTGCTTGTGGACGGCCGACAGATGCAAAGTAGTGTGCAATTCCTTGGTCACCCAACCAGCTTTTGAGAACAGGAGTCTCAAATTGGGGACCATTATCAAAAACCATAGACATGGGAACCCCGAACCGAGTGATGACATTTTTCCAAATGAATGAAATTACATCCTTCGACTTGATTCCCTTTACAGCCTCCGCCTCTACCCATTTAGTGAAGTAGTCGACGGCAACAAGTATGTACCTCCTTCCGCCTGTAGCAGGCGTATATGGACCCAGAATGTCCATGCCCCACTTAGCAAACGGTAGTGGGCTACGAATGGTAGTGAGGTCAGTAGCCGGACGATGAATTAGCTTGCCAAACCTTTGGCACTTGTCACATTTTTTCACCATCTCAATTGCATCTGCTTCTAAAGTAGGCCAAAAGTAGCCCTGCCGCCTTGCCCGTTGAGCAAGCGTCCTACCGCCTATATGAGAAGCACAGTAACCAGAGTGAAGATCGTCTAGTATCTCTCGTCCCTTTTCTGGAGTAACACACTTTAAGAAGGGTTGAAGGTACCCTTTTTTGTGAAGTTCTCCCTTTATTATTTCAAAACTGGTGGCTCGTTTTTTCAGTGCTGCCGCCTGTTGATGATCATCCGGCAGTGTACCGTTTGTCAGATATGCCCTGATTGAATCCATCCAGGTTGAGCTTCTGTCTAAGATTCCAATAGGGTCTTCCTCAATGCTTCTCCTCTCCATTACTTCCCAAAAAACAGTTCGAGGAGTATCACAGGAGGCGGATGATGCTAATTTTGAAAGTGCATCCGCCTGGTTGTTTTCTGATCTCGGCACTTGGGTCAGATGGAAATCCTCAAGGGAGCCGACTGCTTGTCGGACCGCCTGTAAATACTTGACCATGGCCGGATGGGTTGCTTCGTATTCGCCATTGTACTGACTCATTATCAGTTGTGAATCGGAACAGGCGTCTATTTTTCTTGCCCCTGCCGCCTTGCACATGCGGATTCCGGCTAGTAAAGCTTCATATTCTGCCTCATTTTTTGAGGCCTGAAAACTGAAGCGTAGAGCATACTCGTACCTGTCGCCCTCTGGCGACTGAAATATGACGCCTGCTCCACAACCATTTGAAGTAGAGCTTCCATCC